TTGTAGCAACATTTCGGCAGAATCTCATCTGCCATCCTCAGGCTTCTATATATATATTTATGTATGTATGTATGTATATATACATACATACATATATATATATATATATATATATATATATATACACACACGCGCGCGCGCGCACACACACACACACATATATATGTTTTCTTAATATGTATATATATTTATGTGTATATATTACAATACTTTAAAGCTTCTACTTTTGCATTATATTTTCTTTCTATTTTCTTACCAGACCCACCATTTTTTCCCAGCCAATATACGTAGAATTCTTTCACTTCCCTCTCCTGCAATTCTACGGTGAACTTAGTTTATTTCTGTACAATCCGTTCCTTTTTTTATATATATATATAATCATGTCGTCCGTGGAGGGGGCAACCATCTCATTTCCACGTTTGAGCATAACCGTATCCTAGCCCCTGCTAAGATGTGTCTCCTTCGACGGTGTCTTAACGCTTGTTTTCGTACCAACCCGCCGACGGGGCGAAAAGGGAACCCAAGAGATTCTTTTAAATAAAAAAAAAATTATTATATAAATAAAAGCATTTCACAGCCAATCCAATAAGAAACCGGTAAGGCTACAGCTTACTGGTCCACTTCCGTGGAAAGGGATTTGAACGCGGACTCAAAAGTCCCGTCATCGGACAAAACGGCCCATCCTTTCGGAGACCAGGAAGAGACTCCGCGGTTGGGAAAAGAGGTGGGGGTGGGGGAGAAATCCGCGTGGAGACAAACCCAGACGAAAAACCGTTGTGGGAATTCGGTCTCTCGGGTCCGAGAGGAATAGGACGAGGGAGGCGTCCGCGGTATCCCAGGATCGGAGGGGAGGGAAAAAGTCCACCTCTTCTCTTCAAGCCCCAAGGAGGCTGGACTAGAAGACCTTACGAGGCCCTCCCGGCCTCCGTTCTCCTGATCGATTCGTTGTAAAATGGGGAGTGTCCGATGACTCGCCCCGGTTTGCGACCGTTACTATCTACGATTGGAGCAGAAGAGGCTCCGTTAGTCGCAGGTCGAGGACGACGAGGCGTGGATCCCCTGGAAGAAAACCCACCAAGGGGGAGGGGGAAGAGTTAGCAGGGATGGGAAGTCCTCCCCCCCACCCACCCACCCCCGATTCCCCAAGGCTCACCTGTCGTTTTTTTTTTCTTCCAGGTATGTCTCACCTGACCAAGCCAAAAGCCAGGCCGCTCCAAGCGCCCAGGCCTCTCCTGCAGAAGCCAAGATGGCCGCCAAGACCCCCCAGGTCAGAGCTCCTGGCTAAGGAGGGGGGGAGGGAAAGGGGGGGGGCCTTCCACCCCAAACCGCTGGCACGCAAGGTTCCCCCTTCCCCCCCCCCTCCCGGGGTGGGTGCGCCAGTTCAACCCAGCTTGGGTCGAAGGGAAGCTGACCGACGACTCAAAGGCCGGCCCCTGCGTCCACTCGCGGCGGGGTTTGGACCCCCGTTCTGGGCTCCCGGGCTGGCACTCCTCCTGTCCCTCCCTCGCCCCGGCCTGGCACTTTGAGCCTTTTGTGGGAGGGAAGCAACTCGCGGCCCCCTCCTTACAAACGCACGTTAGTCCCCCAACCCACTTTCTTTCAACGGCCACGAATCGTCGTCCGCAGCCCGTAACGAGTCGGCCGAAATCCTTCGGGAGAAGCCTGATCACCACCCACCTTTATAACCCACCTATCAATGTGATTCCGAGGCCGCAAAACGGAGCCCAAAGCGAACGCGGAGCTTCCGTTTTCAAAGCTCGATCCGAACGGAGGAAAGTTGCTTCCTGCAAAGGCCCCTGTCCCTTCGCTCCTCCTCGACGTCTTTGATTGTCTCTTGAGCCGCCCCTTTTTCTCTCCGCTGTTCTTGCCTGCGGGCGCGCCCTGGGAAACAGGCTCCCGCTGTGCCTCTTCCTCGCTGCTGTCAGATTCCGGAAGCCTCCAGAGCCGGGACATCCGCTCCCCGGTGGCCCCGGCCCCCCATCTCTGCGTCGGACGCAGGATTCTCGTCCGAGTCCTTTCTCTCCCCCCCAGACTTTACGACTGGCCCATGTTCCTCCACACTGTGTGACTCTCCTCCCAGTGGACCTTAACCACTTCCTCCTCCTCCTCCTCCTCCTCCTCCCGCACAGACCTTGGCCGTACCTCATTCTCCAATTTTCTTGCAGGTCTTGGAGAAAGGCCCAGTCCCAGCCGCCCAGCCGGCCAAGAAAGCCAGCACCGACCTCCTGGCGGACATAGGAGGGGACCCCTTTGCGGCCCCACCCCCCAGGCCTGCTTTCTCTGCCTTCGGAGGTGAGTCCACCTGGCGGGGGCCTGGCTACTGGCAGCCAGTGTCGTGGTGGTGCTGGGGGGGGGGCCTCCCTCCTGCCTGGCCACGGGGAGGGTGCCCCCTTGGGGTAGCCGTAGGCGGAAGCCTTCCTCTTTCTCGAATGCCGATCGGGCTGTCGGGGAGGAAGACCGTGGCGGTCTCAAAAAGAGGGAGGGAGGGGGATCCCTTGGCCCCCTGGGACTGGCGGGGGGCGGCGGCAGGGAGGTGGCGGAGCGCGTAAGCAAGTCAGGAACAATGGCGGCCTCGGAGTCACCCCCAAACGTCTGGTCAGGCATCCAGCAAGCATCCAGGATATCCGTCAACGCCGAGACTGTATTTTCTCCAGTTGATTTATTTAGGCTACAGATCCGGTAGGTCGGAGGCCATTTCCCAAAGTATTTCCGCACAGAATCCCCCTCTCTTTCTTCTCCCACCCTTCGTAACTCACGAGAACCCACGAACCGCAACTGGAATTCCTTAGTAGGGCGTCCAGGATAACCTTGAAACTTTTCGAGATCCGCCACCCGACCACCCCGCTTCCCTTAAATGCGGCAGCTCAATTTCGAAGCTGACGCCGTCCCAGTTTCACGGTTGCTGGAGTTGTCTTCCCCCCCTGCCCTTCCCCACACACACACACACAAAACAGTGACCATAATGCCTTGGGGAAGTGGGGGGACGACGGACGGACATCAGCGGTCCCTGAGGTTGAAAAAGGCTCCTCCCTCCCCCCAATTTGTGCCCTCAGGCCCAGTAGCGGCTCACCCGGCCTTCTCCAGTTTCGATGCCTTTGGGGCTGGCCCGGCAGCGTCGACGTTCGGGGACCCCTTGGCCACCGGCCCGAGTCCTTTCCAGAGTCCGCCGTTGACTGCAGGTAACCTCCAACCTCGTCCCACCTACTTTCCCTACCCTTCGGACCCCGAGTGAGACTTCCCCCCCCCCGTCCCCAATGGTCCGGGGGGGATCCGGTTGCAGGGGTGTCCAGTTGCCAGGATTCCAGCCATCGCCCGAATGGAACGGGGCGATCCTTGAGCCAAACTTCAAAAAAAGTTGGAAGATGCTTTCGGGCGAAATCTCCGGTAGTTGAGCGACAATCTTTGAAAGATCAAGAATTGGAAGATGCTTTCGGGTGAAATCTCCGGTAGTTGAGCGACAATCTTTGAAAGGTCAAGAGTTGGAAGGGGCTTTCGGGCGAAAACTCCGGTAGTTGAGCGACAATCTTTGAAAGATCAAGAGTTGGAAGATGCTTTCGGGCGAAATCTTCGGTAGTTGAGCAACAATCTTTGAAAGA